TCTTTCGCCCAGATAGCCCAGACAGCAGAGCCCAATCCGTGAATGCCGTCAAGTAGGATGAACTCGCCCATGGCAACGTCGGACCCCGTCCACCTGCCCCTCGGCCACCGGGTGAATCGAGCTCCCAAGAGGACGACCTCCAAAGCCTCCGACACCGACTTCTTGATCTCGCTCTCGTCTATGTCGATGCCCTCGGGGATCCATATGTCGACGTGCTCTCGGTCCCTCCAGTCCCCGTTCGGCAAATGGTGCAAAGCTGTCTTCTTCTCGATGAGTCGGCTCCCCCGTGCGAGCGAAAGGCACAGCAAGTGCCGCTTGCACGGGGTGGCCTCTGGTGGGCCCCCCCCCCTGCGGATGCGAATCCGCCGTTGAACCGCAGCACGGAATATCCGACAGAAAGAAGAGAAGCCCGAGCCCTCGTTGACGGCAAGTGCAACATTGATCTGGCCAGACACGTCGGAGCCCGTCAGGTCGAAGGTGTGCGTGAATACGTTCGCGAGGCAATGTATGGAGCATGTGAAACCAATCTTGCCCCAGCCGTCGCCTCGTCGGTCAACCCCGACCTGCGCCTCGCAGCGGGCGTTCGGGCCAGCGCCGTCCAGGACTGACACGCGCGTCTTGCACGCAAAGTCCTTAGCAGCCCGTCCAACAGCTGTGGTGCGACGTTGGTCCGCCTCTCGAAGACACTCCCCAGTGTTCCGATCCAGCCACTGGAGCGGAGCAATGGGCGCGCCGACGATGCCGACGTACTCGCCCGCGTTGGTCCTCAGAAGGTGCCCGAACCTCGACGAGCTCTGCAGCAGCTTGATGACAGTTCTCTCTAACTTCGGCTTCCCCCACTGTCGAGATCGATCCATGTGGTACACGGCCACCTGCTGCTGCTGCTGATCGGAAGAGCCCACTGCACCACGACCACGTGCTTGGAACGAATCGTTCACTGACAGCTTCATCGGGGTCTCGTCGTACTTGACCGCCTCGACGGAGTGGAGCAAGTTCTCCTTGGGGACCGTATTTGCCAAATAGCACTCCAGCGCAAGCTTCTGGTCCCGCTCGAAATGTACGATGGTGTTGGCCAAGACGATCACGTACTCTGTGTAGCTCCCAGGGGCCACGCCGATCGAATCCTGGATCGATGCCTTTGACGTGGTTCGGCCAGCCAGCTCGGACGACGAATCCATCAACATGCGGTTGAGCTTCGCTGGCACGTCTTGGTCTGATACTCTCTGGCGCTCGATCGTGAGCGCTGCCATGCGAACGTACGGGAGCAGCGGCCACTGATCTGTCGAGCCTCTGCCCGTGCATTGGACGATGTGTCTGGGCACGGTGGGCAGCTTCACTGACTCCGACAGGGGCAGCGCCAGGGCGTTGGTGCGGCCCGCCGCCGCGACCGACCTCGCGGCTGCCCGACTGGGCCTGCGGGGCGGGGGGCGCGGCCCTCTGGCCGCGGCGCCCGCGGGGCCGCGGGGCGGCGGGTGAGGCTCACCCGCGACCTCGGCGAGCACATCGCCCCAGCCGTCCGCCATCGCGGTCTTGCCGCAAAAAAAAAAAACACACAACGTGCCAAAGCCTTGCCGAGACATGTGCGATCCAAAACGGCAGCGCGTGGTGATGATGATGGCGGCGACGCTGCTGCCGTTGGCGACGGGGGGGGGGGGCGTCCTGAATCCCTTGGGAAGGGGGGGGGGGGCAAGGGGCGCTTGCACCCGCTCATCGCAGCCCTTCCTTTCTGTCATGTGTCATGTGCCCCCCCCCCGCTCACCCCCGCCCAGCCCCCGACCATATTTTGTCTCCCCCCTCGCTCATTACCCAACCCCCTATTCAAAACAGAGCAAGGCGGACGTCGAGTCGGTGCGTGTCCTGCCCAAAGGGCACGGGGGGGGGCCTGAAAGGGCCTAGGTTGAACCATACGGAACCTCGCATCGCACCTGTGGGGAAAGGGGCTGAACCCCGCCAAACTACACATCGCACTCAGCGCGCGCTGAGGTTCTTGGGGGACGATGCGCTGCGGACCCGAGGCAGACCCAGCAAAACGTTAGAACTATTATGTTTTCCGCATTATCGAATTGATACGAGCGAGCATTGTTTTTGATATTTTTTTAAAACTGTTTTGGGGCTGCGTCGGAAACGTGGGAAACAACTGTTTTGAGACTCCCTGGGAGATGTTGTGGGGAGTTATCATTTTCCCAGCTGGAGGAGGCCACGCATATCATAATTCTCTGGAGCGTCACTGCAAAGCGATTCGGGGGAGGGGATTCCTGTGGGTGCACCACACGGTCTCCCCCAGGCCGCTGGACAGCCACCTGGTGCTCACTGGACAGTTCACTAGATGGTCTCGGCGGGACTCTGGACTGTCCAGTGGACCGACCAGGGGCCCGCCCAGACGGTCCACGAGACGGTCCAGTGGACTATCCAGTGGGCCAGGCCCGACGGTCCAGTCTCTCCCGTTGGGCTGTCCACTGGCCTTCCAACTGTCTCCAGAACCGAAGCCTCTCCAACGCCCCCGCCAAAGAAGAAGGACGGAATCTCATGCCTCTGGCAAAAGAGGAGGGGGAAGACGACGAAGAGGAAACGCGGCGACCTCGGCCACTCGGCGCACTCACGCCTCGTCCAAGGACTGGTGGGGAAGATGCGAAGCAGGAGGAGCAGTGGGGAGGGAGCCAGGCAGGGCGAAGGACGAAGTGTGATCGCTGTGAACACTGACAGCCCCCGTGTAACGCCGCGAGCGCGGACGCAAAGACCGATGGGCCGGGGAATTGGGCCGACCGAAAATTCAACATAAGGTAGCCTCATCAATCCTCCTCATCCTCCTCATTATATGTATTCACCTTCTACTCCAAACCCGCTTCCTCTCCCGCCTCCCCAGCGTTCACATCATCCCCCTCCTCCTGAGATTGCCCCCCTGCTCCATCCTGCTGCTGCTCCACTCCTCCTCCACCCGCCTCCCCCTTTCTCTCTCTCTCTGTCTCCCATCTTCCTACCTCCTCCATCCTACCTCCTCCTTCTCCTCAGCCCCCCGTCCTCCTCCTCCTCCTCCTCCGCCTCCTCCTCCTCCTCCTCCTCCTCCTACTCCTCATCTTCAGTTCCCCCTCCTCCCCATCCTCCTCCTCCTCCTCCTCCTCCTCCTCCTCCTTCTCCATATTATCCGCTCTCCTCGTCGTTCCTCATTCGCGTGACGGGAGCAGATTACAAGCCCTTCGAAGCGACAAGTTCGTGTGCCCCAGCGACTGACTGTGCTTTGGGGCACAAGAGCTGGCATGTGGCTGCTGATGCCGCCGCAGCCGGGCTTGACGCAGCAGTGCTTTCGGTCCCAGCCTCGGCTACGACGACGAGGGTCCGAAAGAGCCCCAAGAGGCCACAACAGGGCCCCTCAGACAGACACCCACAGACCAGAAGCTCCTGGTATGATACTGTTTGGGGATTCCTGGGACCCTCTTGGAGCCATCTCGGGACCCTCTTGGGGAACTCTTGGAAATCTCTTTGAGCCTTCTGCAGTCTCGGTCCCAGGAGGTCCTAAGAGAAGCTCAAGGCGCACCAAGATGGTCAGAAAGAGCCCCGAAGGGGCCCTGCAAACAGACACCAAATCTATCATACTGGGGGTCCGTTTGGGCTTTGAGGCCCGCTTGTGGATTTCTGTGCTTTCTGGCACTCCTTTCACGGCAATTGTCACCGGCTCGTGGGATGTGTCCGCGGCCTCGGGGCATGATGTACCAGACCAAGCAGACAAGCCCAGACCAGACTAAGCAGATCAACCGATCACCAACATTGCAATGGAATAACAATTGTTTTGCTGAGGATTGGACGCACGTGAACACGCTAGACAGTCCAGACCTGCCACCCAGACCACCTGGATCAAGCAGACTAGCCAGACCAACAAGTCAGACCAGCCAGGTGAACCAACCAGACCAACCAGACCAGCTAGCCGTTCAGACCAGCGAAGCCTGGACCAGACTGAGCAGGTCAACCTGTAGACGCCAAGTAGACAAGCCCAGCCCAGACTAAGCAGATCAAACCACTGGCAAGACCATCCTGCCAGTCAGACCAGACAGACCAGCCAACCAGACCAGTCAGACCAGCCAGGCGACACTGCAGCGCAAAAAAACTGCAATGCAGAAAAAACTCCAATTCAACAACAGCTGCTTTCGTGTCGTCGTCGCCGACCTGTGCGCTTCACCCCTTCCTGAACCTCTCCAAACCCACGCTTGGCTCTCCACACGGAATGCCAAGCTCAAGCTCTAGCAGCGCCACTACAGCGCAAAACAAACTGCAATGCAGAAACAACTGCAGTGCCAAAACAAACTGCAATGCAGAAACATCTGCCAGGCAAAAACAACTGCCGTGCAAACAAAACCACAATGCAAAAACAACTGAAATGCAATATCACAAATCATGGTGTCGTCGTCGCTGGTGTGTGCGCTTTAATCATTCCTGAATCTTCTAAACAAACAGCACCAGGCACGCACGCGAAACCCTAAGTCCTAGATCAGCACCACCACAGCGCAACAAGAACTGCAGTGCAAACAAAAACTGCAATACAAGACAGGCTGCACAACAAAAGCAACGGTGTTCGTCCAGTGGTCGCCGACATGTGCGCTTCAAGCCTCCCCAGAGCTCCCCACACCACGCATGGCTCCCACGCGGAATCCGAAGCTCAAGCTTGAGCAGCTCCACTACAGCGCAAAACGAACTGCAATGCCAAAAACAAACTGCAATGTACAACCGACTGCAGTGCAAAAACAACTGTGTTCGTCAGGTGTCCGCCGATCTGTGCGCTTCAGCCCCCCCCCCCAGAAACTCTCCAAACCCACGCTTGGCTCGCACGCGGACCCCTGAGCTCAAGCTCGAGCAGCGCCACTGCAGCGCCACCGAAAAACTGCAGCGCAAACAAAGCTGCAATGCAGTTACAGCTAGAGTGCAACAACACTTTGTGTTCGTGTCGTCGTCGCCTGTATGTTCGCTTCAACCCTCCCTGAAGCTCCCCCGACCACGCTTGGCTCTCACGCTGAATCCTAAGCGCAAGCTCGAGCAACGCCGCTGCAGCGCAAGACAAACTGCAGTGCAAAAAACAAGCTGCAATGTACAACCGACTGCAGTGCAAAAACAACTGTGTTCGTCAGGTGGCCGCCGACCTGTGCGTTTCAGCCCCCCCCCCCGAACCTCCTTAAACCCACGCTTGGCTCGCACGCGGACTCCTGAGCTCAAGCTCGAGCAACGCCGCTGCAGCGCAAGACATGCTGCAGTGCCACAATAACTGGAATGTCAAACACAAACTGATGTGCAACAACAACAACAACAACAACAATCATTTAAGACTGGGGACACTCCGTTCTCACCAGTGCCAGGGTTTTCATAGGAGGCGGGCAATACCCCCATTTTGTGGGGGGGCCGGTTCAAGCTCTACCAAGTTTCCAAACGACTCTTCGCCACCACCCACACCCAGCTTCCCGCCCTATGACGTTCGGACACTTCACTTCGTGGCATGCGGACGACCGTGGCTACTATTCAGGGCCCCGCGGCCGACGACGACGGCGTGCGCGCGCGAAGAAAAAACGAATGTGTCCCGCATGGTATTATTTGACAGGGATGATGGCCCTGGCAGGTGCGCAACCGTTGTCGCAGAAGTTCGAAAAAGTTGCTCGCAAAAGCCCGTTTGACAGAAATGTTTAAAAAGTGTTGGGTTTCCTACGAATCCGCAAGAGCGCGCGGGATGAGATTTTGACATTTTTTTGTTGAAAAACCATTGGTTTTTTGATGTTTTTATGTTAAAATCGCTGCCGAACACTAAGGTTTTGGAAGGATTTCGTCTTGCGCGCGCGAATGTCCACTTTACCTTATTTTTTGCAAGGGATTCTTGAAATTTGATTATATTAGAACAAGAAATGTCATTTTATAGTGTTTTTTGCAAGGGAAAGCGGATTACAACAAAACAACCGGATCTGGATCACATCGTTTTACCTGAGGCTTCCTCACGAAAATGATGAAAATGTAGCTGCGGCCTAGGCGGCGCAGGGGGGGCGCGCACCAGGGGGCCCAACAATAATTATTCTTTAGAATTAATAATGTTCAACAACACCAACAACAACAACAACAACAACAACAACAACAACAACAACAACAATAAGTGTACCCTCATGCGCGATGTTTCCACACGAAGCATGCGACCATCATTGTAACCATCCCCATCGTGGGGGATTCTTGTTCTAGGGCGGGGTCCGTTATTCCTCTTCCCAGATCTCCCGCCCGATGAGGTCTTGCAAACACCTCCTCCGAGGAATTCCAACAGATCCCGCCTCGAAAACGCATGCCCGCGCCTTGCTGCGCCGATGCGAGACCGCCAGTGGGGCCAAAGCCAAGGGTAAAGCACAAGGAAGTATCGAGCGACAGGATTGCCTTGGTGGGGATGGGGGCTGTCGGCGGCGAGGCAAGCACCTGGCCCTGAATAGGAAGGGAAGAAGTCTCGAGCAGGGCCGCTGCTGTTGCTGGGAGCGGCGCCAATGCTGAAGGGAGTAGGGCGCGAGTCCAGCGCAGAACAAAACGAAGTCTCGAGCCAGAACGCTGGTTTTGTTGGGACGGCGGTTGTCGGCGGCGAGGAGGAAAACCGCCTTGAGTAAGAAGGGAGGAAGTCTCGAGCTGGAGCCGTGGTTTTGTCGGGACGGGGGCTGTCGTCGGCGATGAACAGCACCGTCCTGAGGAAAAAGGGAGGAAGCCTCGAGCGGGAGCGTTGTTCTTGTTGGGAGCGGCGCCAATTCAGAAGAAAGTAGAGCGCCAGTCCAGCGTAAAACAGGAGGATGTCTCGGGCGTGAGCGCTGGTTTTGTCGGGACGGCGGTTTTCGACGGCGAGGAGGAGCACCGCCTTGAGTAAGAAAGGGAGGAGGCCTCGAGCAGGAGCGTTGTTGTTGCTGGGGGCGGCGCCGATGAGAGAAAGAGTAGCGCGCCAGTACAAGGAACAACAAGGAGGAAGTCTCGAGCAGTAGCGCTGGTTTCATTGGGACGGCGGCTTTCGGCGGCGAGCAAACCACTCGAGCGTGAGCCTCATTTTCAGTGAAAATGTAGCCACCGTGCGCTACAACGGCCGACAATTTTATGGGTACCCTCCTCCTCCTCCTCCTCCTCCTCCTCCTCCTCCTGTTCCTCCGCATCCTCCCCATCCGCCACCCGCCTCCTCATCATCCTTACGGCGGAGGCATTGGCTAAGGAAACCTTGGAGAAGGAATCCAGGGTCTGGAAGCCAGCGGCACTCCAATTGTGGGTCGGCCATGGGTATCGCCATCGCCCTCATAAGATAAGGAATCATCCAGGGTCTGGAGCCTCCTGGACGCATTCCTTAACCAACGCCTCCACCGTATCATCCTCCCTCCTGGTCCTCATCTTCCTCGTCGTATCGGGGATCTTCTGACCCGGGTCAATCCAGGCCCGCGTCAGTCAGGCCTTGCAGGATCCTGCAAGATCCTGCAGGATCCTGCACCCACGCCTGGGCCAATGCGAGCCTGGCCCTGCAGGACCCCCGTCCCTTGAGCCCCGATCAAAGGTCGGGGCCGGCCAAGAGGGGGGCGTCCAAGAGGGGGGGCGCAAATCATGGCCAGCGGCATGTGCGCGGCCCAGGGGGCGATGGAAAGGGACGTAATGGAATAGGGAGTTGCGCCACGAACTCTGGGGAAATCTCATGGCCCTGGCCATGACATCCGCCCTCTCTGGTCATCACCCCCCTCCTGGCCGCCCCCGAAAAGGGGGGGGGACATCGACCGGCAGTCGGCCTGGCCGGGAGAGGCATCGGCCGGGCAGCGGCAGCGGGAGCTCACAGGAAGGACGTCAGCCGGCAAGGCGCCCGCGTCCTCCGGCGGGGGGGGTCGCGCCGCGCCTGCTCCCGGCGTGCCCCCGCCCCCCGTGGCCTGCGGTGCCCTCTTCGTCCTCTTGTCCTCATCTTCGGGCCTCCTCCCCAGACCCCCTCGAGTCACAAAAACATGATGACGGAAGGTGTCTCGCTGTGTTCGACCTCTGGAGGCCCTCACCGGGCCTCTGGACCGTCAAACAACGACTCAGGATGCGGAATCCGGTCCCGGGAGAGGGGTCCCGACCTCAGGGGAGCGACGTCATGAGAAAATCATGGCGTCGGGGGTCTGGGTCACTCGTCCCTTCTCCTCCCCGCGACAAGACGCAGTGCCCATCGGCAGCCCATGTCTCCTCCGCCGCACCCCGCCTCGCCTCCACTCTATCCCGCCCTCCTCCTTCTCGTTCCCCCCTGCGCGGCCTCCTCCTCCCCTCCGCCTCCGCCTCCGCCTCCGCCTCCTCCTCCTCCTTCTCCTCCTTCTCCTCCTCCTCCTCCTCCTCCTCCTCCTCCTCCTGCTCCTCCTCCTCCTCCTCCTCCTCCTCCTCCTCCTCCTCCTCCTCCTCCCCTCCGAAGCAGCGAAAGAGGTGGACCTGGTCGAGGGCTTCGAGCCGCGCGAGGAGCCTCCTCCTCCCCTGCGCCTCCCCCCTCCATCCCCTTCCCTTTAGACACCTCCTCGTCGCACCACCAGACGGTTCGGCAGGGCGCTGCGGGTGGTTCTGCCGGAGGCTTCCTCACCGCGCGCGGCCCCGCAGCTCGGAAAGTCTCAGCCGCTGCACAGATGGAGGGCGGCGGCACCGCTTTCGAAGTTCTGTTTTCGCCCTGCGGTCGCCCACATTCATGTTCCAACGCTCTCGCCGTGACAGCGGCGGAGGGCGGTCCCTGCTCACCTCTCGCGTGAGCTCCCCCCGCCGCCCTTCACTACAGGCCAGAGCTCCTTACGAGCCAAAGTGCGAAAGTGCCCAACGTCTACGTACAAAACTTCGTCGAATACGACCCTTGATGTGTACACTTGAGCAGCACTTGCATCAACGTGATGTCTTGGCACGACGGATCTCGGGCACGGAACAGCGGCACGCTGCCTCAGAGCCGCCTCTGCTAGGCAGGCAAACGCTTTCGTCTCAAAAATTGGCAACGTCCTCGGCGGCACCAACACAGCGAGCCCTGCGCAGAGAGACAGGAACTGCTGTTGTTGGTCTTGGTCCCCACCAGTGGAGGAGGAAGAGGAGGAGGAGGAGGAGGAGGAGGGGGAGGATGAGGAGGAGGAGGAGGAGGAGGAGGAGGAGGAGGAGGAGGAGGAGGACCAGTGTAAACTCAAGGGTCATCAACGATGTTGGAATAAGCCTTCCCTCCAAGCTTCCACTTCATAGGCCCCTACAACGGTTCACTTCCATGAAAGGGAGCTGCCTCTTTGGAAGGCAGTCGTTTGAAGACCCTAAAGCATGTTACAACATGGTTCTCGCGATTCTAACGCCACGGATCAACCTGACTGCTGCGCATTGGCAATCCTCAATCGCATCAGAACGTCATTCCTGAGAATTCAACACAACGATTCAACATAACAGTTGTCCCCGCATAACCCTGAACCCTTTCAAGCCACAATATCTGGCACGTTGATGATGGGAATCCGTGAAACTCTTGCACATGTTGTAAGCGACTGGGCGCGGCGCCAAGGCGGGAGCCACATTTTGAAAAGGAACCGCCCTCAGTCCGTGAAACTCTTGCAGCATGCTAAAGCGAATGCGCGCCGCGCTGAGGCGAGCACCACATTTTGAACACGACCCGCCATCAATCCATGAAGCTCTTGCAAGTGTTGAAAAAGAATGTGCGCCCCAAGAAGGCGAGAGCCACATGTTGAAAATGGCCCGCCCTCAATCCGTGAAGCACTTGCAAATTCTTAAAAACGAATGTGCGCCGCGCCAAGGCGAGAGCCACATTTTGAAAACGGCCCGCCCTCCATCTGTGAATAAAGTGTTGTTATGATTTAAGCTTCGGAATCATTGATGGTGAAGAAGTCTCAAGCGAAACGCCCGGCCCACCCTAAAAGCTGGCCTCGGGGTGCGACAGTGGGGAGTTGTTTATAAGGATAAGGAATGGAGGAGAAGGAGGAGGAGGGAGGAGGAGGAGGAGGAGGAGGAGGAGGAAGGAGGAGGAGGGAGGAGGAGGAGGAGGGAGGAGACGGAGGAGGAGGAGGAGGACCCAGTAGACGGCTCCCCGTATGCTTCAAACGGGGCTCTCGCTGGGCACCTCTTCCAAACCCTGCCGTCTCGCGCTCTTCAGAACAGAGCTCCTCTTCAGAGCGGAGCCGCGCGTGCCCGCAGGGCGCTCGTCTTTCTCAAGGGCGACCTTCCCGTAGTCTTAGGTCGGGCATGCCACCCGACAGACAGACTCTTTTTCAAAAATATTCGAAACATGCCCAGGAATTGTCAAACGTAATCAATCAATCGTCCCCAGACTATGTATGTTTTTTTTCAAAGCTATGTTTGCATATTCCCCCTGTAGAGTGACACGCCCGACTTAACCATAATCCTGAGGAGCGCCTGCAGGAACCCATGCAGAAGGGGATTGGGACGGGAGGGCGCTTGACAGCATCACTGATGCATCATGCGGCCTACTATAGTGCTCCTCCTCATCCTTTCTCCTCGCTCCTACCTCCTCCTACGTTCCACCTCCCTCTCCCTCCTCATACTGCTCCTGTCACCCACCTCCTCCTTCTGCGCCGGGGGAGGAAACGACAGGGAGGAAGAGAACGCGGAGTACAGTCAAAACTGATGGCAAATATGCGCGATAAGGATGCAAGGGCCATGAACGCCCGTGCCGAAGCTTTTCGAGAGGAGCTGGCCATCGATAGTGGTGAAGGATGGACCGAAGAGGCAAGGATGCAAGGGTACCCTAGGGAAGGTTACCCATCCTTACCATCGGCTTCGATTGTATACGGGCCAGAGGCACGAGCACGCGGCGGAAAAGGAGATGAAGCACGAAGGCTGAAGAAACAAACAGCTGCATGAACGGAAGCCCGTGCGGGTTTCTTTGATCGGCTCCAGGGCGGCGCCGGGGGGATCCAGGACCGATCTAAGAAACCCGCGCCGCACTCCGACAAATTACTTGTGTTTATGCCGCTTGTTCTCCAGTGGGAGGAGGAGCAGGAGGATGAGCATCGTTTATCCGACTCTTACCCCCAACGGCGTGACTGACCGATTTACCCCCCCCCAGATGGGGATGTAGGCTGTTCATCTGGGGGTTCGAGGGGCATATCCCCAACTGGGATGGTAAAATGGTGGGGCTTGGGATGGGGATAGGAGAAGGGATCGGTTCAGCGATGCTGAGACCCAGACCCCTGGGCGTCATGATATCTTTCACAACGTCGACCCCAGGAGCTCTCGCCCCAGTCCCTGGGACCGGATTCTCATCCTGCGCCTTTTCTGAACTGTCCGCAGGCCTGGTAAGGGGCCCACAAGGCCAAACATAGCGACAAGCCTCCCGTCGTGATCTTTTTCACGACGCGAGGCTGGTCTGCGGAGGCGGAGGCAGAGGAGGGGGAGGAGGAGGAGGAGGAGGAGGGAGGAGGAGGAGGAGGAGGCGGAGGCGAAGGAGGAGAAGAAGCACGACGACGAGGAGGAGAAAAGGTCGAGGAGTAGGAAGAGGAAGAGGAGAAGGAGGAGGAGGAGAAGCGGAGACAAAGGAGGAGGAGGAGGAGGAGGCGGAGGGGGAGGAAGAGAAGGAGGAGGAGGAGGAGGAAGAGGAGGAGGAATAGGAGGAGGACGAGGAGGAGGAGAAAGAGGAGGAGGAGGAGGCGGAGGCTGGTCTGGGGTAACGGAGGCGGAGACGGCGGCCAAGGAGGAGAGCCAGTGCAGGCGCCGGCTGCGGCGGGGGGCCGAGGCGGCGCCCAACCGGCCCGCGGAGGCGCGCCTGGGCGGAGCAGGCGCGCCGGCGCAGCGCCGGCGAGGGACGGCCGCCTGCGCGAGCGGGAGAGGGGGGGGTGCAGAGCAGGAGGCGGGAGGGGAGTACAGTAGGAGGAGAAGACGGGGGGGAGGAGGAGGAGGAAGAGGAGGAGGAGGAGGAGGAGGAGGAGGAGGAGGAGGAGGAGGAGGCGGAGGAGGAGGAGGAGGAGGAGGGGTGAGGGAGATGAGGAGAGGAGGAGGAGGAGGAGGAGGAGGAGGAGGAGGAGGAGGAGGAGCAGGAGGAGCAGGAGGAGGAGGAAGAGAGGAGGAGGACGAGGAGGAGGAGGAGGACGAGAAGGAGAGAGAAAGGGGAAGGAGGGGAGGGTTTCTGGGAGGGGGCGAGGCAGGCGAGGTGACTCCGAGCTCGCCCATGAGGGCGCGCGCACGCGGGGCTGTGGAGTGGGCGCCTGGGCGACGCTCAGTGAGTCGCCCAAAATATGTTGTTTTCTTTGGTGTGCGTTGCTATCCTTTTAGTGTGACCACAAGCTGCTGTCCGACGCAATGTTTTGCCAATCCCCTCTGCATGTTGTGCGGGTTCAATCCGCCCACATCATATGTTTACCTGTTGTTGGGTCGCTGTCATGGCCTGTTTGCGCGAGTGTTGATATTGGTTGGGTAGGTGGAGGGGGGCAGGATTGGCACGCCTGGCATGGATACAGAAAAAATGGGTGCGATATCCAGCTGCATTTGTGGCGAAAGCCCGCAGCGGCCGCCGTTGGGCAGGCGACATCTCGTCTCAAATGGACATCTTCCGCAGCGACACCAGCCGCGAGTCCTGCCCGAAAGTGGGCAGGACCAGCTGTTGGTCTTCATCCCCAGTCTCTCCTTCCCTGCTTCGAATGTGCAGACACGAGCAGGAGCAAGATGAGGAGCAGGAGGGGAGGGAGATGAGATGAGACGGCGAGAGGAAGGGAGGGAGAGGAGACGGAGGATGAGAGGGGGGGGGAGGGAGAGAAGGGGGGAGACAGAGGAGGGAGAGGAGGGGGGGCGCTCGCTAGCAAAGCCCGCCAAGCGCGGAAAGGAGGGGGAGCGTGGCGCACCGGGGAGGAGGGGAGCAGGAGCAGGAAGCTGAATAATTTGAAAAACACTAAACCACACACATACAACAACGAAAAGAGAGAGAGAGAGAGAGAGAGAAAAAACAAAAAAAAAGGAGAGCGAGAGAGAGGAGCTCGCCGGTGTCAGCAGCACCAGCGGCCAGGGCATCGCCGCGGCGTCGATTCCGCGCGCGACCTGGACCGCGGCGGGCGCTGGATTGCCGGCGCCGGCGCCGATCCTCCGCCAACGCCTCCGCTCATCATGACCATCACCACCACCATCACCGTCATGGTCGCCATCACAAATATCGTCAGCATCATCAACAGCATCACCATCATCATCATCATCATCATCATCATCATCATCATCATCATCATCATCATCATCATCATCATCATCATCATCATCATCATCATCATCATAAGCATCAGCATCATCATCATCAGCATCATCCTCGTCATCATCATCAGCATCATCATTACCCTCACCATCACCATCATCATCACCATCATATCATCATCATCGTTATCATCATGGCCATCATCATCATCACCACCATCACCATCGCCGTCACCATTATCATAATCATGAATCAGAATGATAATCAGCATCATCATCATCAACATCATCATCCTCTGCGTCCTCCTCCTCATCCTGATCCTCGTACTCACCTTCCTGCTCGTCCTCATCCTCATCCTCATCGGCGTCCTCATCCTCGCCCTCCACCTCAACATCATTGCCATCAACAGCATCATTGTCATCATGGTCTTCTTCTTCTTCAGCATCATCATCAGCAAAGACATCGACAGCACTGTCAATAGCATTACAATCAACATGATTTGTATCAGTACGGCTGTTGACATATCACCTTGATTCGTATCATCCACATCATCCTCGTCCTCATCCTCATGATCATTATCATCCCGGTTAACCACCGCCACAGACAGCCACTAACAGCAGCAACATGATCATACTCATCATCCCGCCCCTCGTTGTGCTTCTGTGCTTGCTCCTGCCCTCTGCTCCACCTCCAGCTGCGACTGGCCGAGCTGCCGCTGCCGCTCCGACTCCTATGTCTCCCCCTTACCTTCCTCGTCCACCCACTCCTGATGGTCCAAACTATTTAGTCCTACTCCGCCTCCTCCTCCTCCTCTTCCTCTTCGTGGAGCTCATCCTGCTCCCTCCTCTTCCTCCCCCTCTTCCACCCCTCCTCCTCCTCCGTCTTCTGCTGCTACTGCTGCTGGGGATGCTCCTGCTCCTGCTCTTGCTCCTGCTCCTGCTTCGACTGCGTCTTCTGCTTGCTTTCCTGGGTCGACACCTTCGTCTCCCCGAGCGCATCGCTGCAACGTGCGGCCGATTGAGCATGACCGTACGTACCCCCAACCCTGGCCGCGTGCCCCAGAACCGTCCAGCTAACTCGATACGATCCAGATCTGGTGCCAACCCCCACGTTGCATCCAGGAGGCCGGCCAAACGCGAGGGAACGCCTTGCCCGAGAAAAACGAGTCGGCGCACAGCCAGCAGATAGCCTCTCAACGGTCAGCGCTGCAAGTTGCGTGGCCGCTCGTGAGAAAGCAAAGTGCAGGCCTCGCTTGTCTGCAGCGCGCAGTTGTCTCCCGAGCGCTGCTCCCCCTGCCTGCGAGCGCGTGGCTGGATGGACGGCTCAGTCTTTGGGGGCGATGCTCAGGGGCAACGCCTGAGGGCGACACTTCGGGGCATCATGCGTGGGCGGTGCTTGAGGGCAATATGTGGGGGCCACATCTGGAGGCAGTGCACATGGGGGCAATGCTTGGGGGGAACACGTGGGGCAGCACTGGGGGCCAGTACCTAGGACGCAATACCTGAGAGCAGCACTCAGAGGTAGTACACGGGGGCAGTAAAAAAGGGGTGCAAATGCATGGCCATCGCCCCCTCGCTCTCGTTCACAAGTGCGGGGGGCTACGTATGGAGGCCAGACCCGTGCAAAGCAGATTGGCTCCGTGAACCTTCCAGTGTGCCTTCCGATGCGCAGCGATGACCACACCGGCCTGCATCTCATCATCAGCACCATCGTCGTCCGTCTCCGTAGAATTTCCTCGCCACCCCTCCCTCGAATCACCGTCCTGCTACCATTCATCCTCCTCTTCGGTGTCTTCCTCCTGCTGCCCCTGCCCCTCCACTTACCTCACATCCGCTTCATCATCCTACCCATTGTCCTCCTTCACCTCTTCCTTCTCTAACTCATGCTCATCCAGGCCCCCCCTTCATCCTCCACGTCATCCTCCTGCCCCTCCTCCACTATCCTCCTCATCTCCTCCTCCGCCGCCTCCTCCTCTCCCCTTCTCGTCCTAGCCTCCCACACCTTTGCCACCTCGTCGTGGTCGTCGTCATCTTGCTTTCTCGACACGGGGTCCCTGGAGGCCACGACCCCTTCCCCAGAGCCGGTTCTTCATCCCGAGTCGCTTTGTTGACTGTCTTGGGGCCCAGCGAGGCGTCCTGGGGGGCCTCACACGGCCAAAGATCTCCTGTCCTGATTTCGCTTCACGGCCCGAACATGTACAGTCGGGCCGCTGAAAGAAGGAGCGATAAACAAGGAACGAAGCCCCCTCTTGGCCCTGTAAGCGCCTCCGTGCCCCAGGATGCCAAGAGGCACATCAAGGGAGGAACCGAAGGAACATACAGCCCCTCCCGAACCCAAATCGTGCCTTGTTCCAGCGGCTTGCCTGTATGGGTCCTTGAACTTCCCCCGCCTCAGTCAGGCAGGCCACCGGCCCCTCCGCGCGGCCTCCTGCTTGCGCACGTCGGCCTGGGTCTGCTGCTCGATCGCGATGACGTCGTGGTGATCGAGCACCCGGCGCGCCTGGACGCCCCGTCCGCCTCGGCCTCCTCCTCCTCCTCCTCCTCCTTCACCTCCCTTTCCTCCTCCTGCTTCTCCTCTCCACCACCCTCCTCCTCCTCCTCCTCCTCCTCCTCCTCCTCCTCCTCCTCCTCCTCCTCTCCCCTCCTCCTTTCCCTCCTCCTCCTCCTCCTCCTCCCCCTCCTCCGCCTCGTCCTCCTCCTCCTCCTTCTCTCCTCCCTCGTCGAACCTCCTTCTCCTCCATCCCTCTTCCTTGTGAATACCTCCTCCTCCTCCTCCTCCTCCTCCTCCTCCTCCTCCTCCTCCTCCTCCTCCCTGTCGCACCCCCAGACGTGTCGGTAGGGCGGCCCGGGCGTTTCGCCTGAGACTTCCGCTTCTGATCCTGAAGCTTGACGTTTGCACGAGCTTCCTGGATTGAGGGCGCGCGGTTTGCAAAATGTGGTTCTCGCCTCCGCGCCGCGCCCTGCAACAGCTTTAGAGATGAAGGGCGGATGGCTTTCGAAATTCGGTTCCCGTTTTATCACCGCGCACATTCGTTTTGAAAGTTTGCACCAGTTTCAAATATGGAGGGCGGGTGTTTTTTCTAATGCGGCTCACGCCTAAACGGCGCGCACATTCGTGGCTCCCGCTCAGCACCGCGCATATAATTCTGCACGTTCGCAACAGCTTCCAGTTTAGGACTGCCAGGACGTAACAGTCACGTTGATTCGCGGTGCTGAAGTCCCAGGAACGGTGTTCTGGCAAGACTTGCACGTCAGGACGCAGCATTTACTTTGACCCGCTGCATTGGCACGGTTGGGGAGTCTTAAACGCATGTCTTCTAATGGGCGACTTCCTGGAACAAAACCGAGCTCTTGTAGGGACCTATGGAAAGGGAACTTGGGGGAGAGGTTCTTGCAACATCGTTGATGCGTCTCGGGCTTACTCTGGTCGTCCTGCTCCTCCTCGTCCATCTCCTTCTCCTGCTCCGCTTCCCTCCTCCTCCTCCTCCTTCTCCTCCGCCTCCTCCTCCTCCTCCTCCTCCTCCTCCTCCTCCTCCTCCTCCTCCTACGCCTCCTCCTCCTCCCCCCTCTGTGGTCGACGACCGTTGCCTGAGCAAACACTTCTCTGCCTCTCCACCGCTCCCCTCATCGGTGCTTCGGGGAGGGTCCCGAGGAGGCCTTGGGTAGCAGTTCCGGCGGCGGCTCGCCCAGGTTCGCCGGCACGTAAGGAGTGACCCTAGGCAAGGGTGACCTCTGGTGCACGGCCCCGCTGGGCCGCGGGGGAGGCCAAAGCCAAGCGACCCAGACGCGCCAGCCAGTGCTGGGAGATCCCCTGTGGGCCTGCACCAGAAGGTCACTCCAGCGAAGGGTCACCCTTACCGCGTAGCCGACGGGTGGGCTTCCCAGACGGCTCTCTGAATGTCTCTGCCCCTGCGACAAGCATTCTAAGCCTTCTTCGAACACTATCTTCTCCCAACGCAGAGCAGTGAAGGGGGACAAGGGAAGGAGGAGAAAAGGGGGGAGAGGGGAAGGAGAGGGGAAGGCAGGGGAGGGGAGGGGGAAGGAGGAAAGCAGAAAGGGGGGAGAGGGGAAGGAGGAGAAGCAGAAAGGGGGGAGAGGGGAAGGAGGAGAGTGGAAGGAGGAGAAGCAGCAGCAACAGCAAGCGCGCGAGCGCGCGAGCGCGGCCGGTGCCCCCCGCCTGCGCCCCGGCTCAGCTAAGCCTCCTTCGAACACGCAGACGGCTCCCCGGAAAGCTTGGGGGCTTCGGAGGAGCCCCGCCGCCTGTTTAGCGGGCCCGCGCCCTCTCGCTTCCCCCCCCACGCGGCGCACCGCCAGCTGTTGAGGGGGGCACCGCAAGACAGGTGCCCCTGGTGTTCCCATCCGATGATGGCTTCAGGGCGGTCTGCGGTGCGGGCCCGAGGCGGATTTCGCCGTGCCTCCAATTGGCACGGATCGCTGGCGGGAGACCTGCTGGTGACTCCGTGCGCCTCCTCCACACACCATTCTCCACTGCATCCTGTTCCTGATAGGTGTGTAGATGAGGCAAGATGTCGGTGCGAAGCACGGTCTTACACCCCAAACAAAAAAAAGGGCTGACGAGCTCGATAGAACTCCGCCCTGTCCGACTCTACCGGCACAGGTGGCCGGAGGCTGAGCGTGCAAGTGCGAGCGACTGGAAGGTCGCCGAAATTTCTTCTCCACTGCATCCTGTTCCTCATTTTGAAGACGCAGAGACATAAGCTGTTGACGCTCCGCGTGGGTATCTGGCAATCTGCGCTGGACCCCCGGTCCTGGCGCGCGGAGCGTGCCAGGGGCGGCGCCGGAGGCGCCGCCGAGGGTGTCCAGCGCAGATCCAGCAGATATGCGCGGGCAGTGGAAATTTTACGGTGATGGCATGCGATCAGGGAACCTTCGAGAAGGAATCCAGGGTCTGGAAGCCAGAGAAAAGCCAATCCTGGACTGGCCATGGATATCACCGCCGCCCTCATCAGGGAAGGAGCCCTCCAGGGTCTGAAGCCGCCTGGGCACGGTCCTGAACGAACGCCCCCACCGTATCCGCACATGTCGCCCCCGCTTCTTCGATGATTGCTGATGGAGCCTGCATCGCCTCGTTGGCCGACGCCAGGGATGCCTCGGCGGCCTCCTTCGCCAGCTCGTTGGACCTCTCCGCGTGCTTCCACGCCTGGTGCCAAGGTGCCAGGGGGGGGGAGGCAGGAACAGGGAGGGGAAGCAAGGGGGAGGCGAAGAGAGAGGGGGGGGGACGGATGGGGGAGAGGAAGGGGGAGGGGATGATGAGGGTTCTAGACGAAAAGGAGGGGGCCAGTAGCCAGGGGATGGATGGGAGCAAAGGCGGGCGATGTGAGTGGGGGGATGTGCTAAGGGATAGGATGGAGGTGGGTGGTTTTATGGGGTGCGGGACACCAAGGGGGGGGGAGGGGGGCAAAATGAGGGGTGAGGGGTGAGGGAGTGGGCAAGTAAGGGGAGCGGCGAGTGTGGAAGGACGCAGGAGCGGGGCAGGTAAGGAGACGGGGACGGGCTACTTCGGTTGTCCTCGTCGTCGTCGCCCTTCTTCTCCACATCCCCATCAGCTTCCCCTCCTCCTCCTCCTCCTCCTCCTCCTCCTCGTCCTCCTCACCAGCCTCAGCTTCCTTCTTGTCCTGAACGTCATCCACCTCCTGTGTGTCATCGCGTTCCGTCTCTCATTCCTCCTCCTCCTCCTCCTCCTCATCGTCCTCCTCCTCCAGCTTCTTGTCCTACTCCTCGCCCTCTATTGTATCTTCCTCTTCCTCGTTTCCCTGCGCCTCATGTTCCTCGTTAACTTCCGCCTGATCGTACTCCCCATCCTCCTCCCCCTCTCCTCGGGCTCCTAGATCCTGGTCCTGCTGCTGCTGCTTCTTCTCTGCCAACTCTCCCATCTCCCACTCTCTTCGAATCGTGCACACCTCTGCCCCATTACATCATCACCACCACCATCATCATAATCATCATCATCATCATCATCATCATCATCATCAGCAGCATCATCATCATCAGCAGCATCATCATTGGCATCATCAGCAGCATCAATATCATCATCGTCATCAGCATCATCAGCAGCATCAGCATCACAGTCGTCGTCATCATCACCATCATCAGCACCATCACCATCACCGTCACCATCACCATCAACATCATCATCCTCATCACCCCCATCAGCTTCATCATCAGCAACATGAACATCATCAGCATCGTCAGCACAATCGTCAACATCATCCTTCTCAGTAGCGTCATAATCAGCAGCATCAGCACCATCATCACCACCATCACCATCACCATCACCATGGTCATCATCATCACTATCATCATTGCCAGCATCAACACTACCATCATCATCATCATCATCCTCATCATCATCACCAGCAGCATCATCACCATCACCATCAGTAGCATCACCATCATCAGCATCGTCAGCATCGTCATCGTCGTCATCGCCATCATTAGCATTACCATCATCACCACCATCACCATGACCATGACCATCACCATGACCATCACCATGAGCATCACCATCACCATCGTCATCATCACCATCGTCGCCCCAAACCAATGCGGCCCGCCGCCTCGTGAATCGCGTTTTCCCGCGCGGAGTACATGGTGAGGTCCTCCGCCGGGCGGCGGGGTACCGATGCGGGTTATTGCGGGTCCAGGTGTTGCACCCTGGCGAATGGAGGACTGAAGAAACTCGCTCCCCCTCGTCACCCTCCCCTCCAGCTCCTAGATGACTTACACTCTGGCGGCTGAAGACCCCAGACTGGACGGTAGTAAAAAGAGCGCGTGCTGCTGTGCACATGTGGGGGGACCATACGGGAGACCCTGCGGGAAAACATGCGGGAGAACACGCGGGAGACCATGCGAGATAGCATAAGAGCAATACGCTGCGGAAAACCATGCAGGAGACCGCTGGGAGGAGCATACGGGAGACCGTATGGGCATCCGCCACCATGCCGTGGGCACTGAGCAAGGTGCCCTCGGGTCCCTGTGAGTTCTCGGTGCTGAGCATTGTGCCGGCTCCTGAAGGGGTAGATTGGGGGCCACATGCGAAACCGACCCCTGCCCCCCACCATTTCTGAGGGAGAGGGTGGTCTTCACTTCGCTCGTGCGATTAACGAAGTGAACAGCACCCTCCCCTCAGCAATCGTGGGGGGCAGGGGTAGGGTTCGCATGTGGCCCACTGGTAGAGACATCCGATATGGGGTCGGAGCTGATGGGTTATCTGCTTTGTCCCGTGGCCATAGCCACCGAAAAAAAAGTGCAGCCTGCCAGGGGAGACCATGATCGGGGCCCTTCAGAATGCCCCTTCGCCAAGCGAGCCCCTGGGCACAAGCCGTGTCGAATGCCGTGGCACGGGGCCTCCTTGGCCCGATCCACGACCTTCGCCCCTGTTGCCCAGGCAACGTTGTTGTGCGCGACCACCTGGGACTCGCCGAGACAGCCTGATCGGGACCAAAAAGCCGGACATCCTGAACCTGATCCGGGCAGTTTGTTTTAATGTGTATATATATATATATATATGTGATCCGGGCAGTTTGCTTTAATGTGTATACAGATATACATATATATATATATATATATATATATATATATCGGACCCCTCGGAGGCAGCAGTTCGTTAAGTCATCAACCACAAAGTGCCTGGAGGACCGGGCTACACCCGAAGATAAACCATTCTGTCACACAATGGCCGAAATCCCAAACCGCAGGTCTTAGCGCCTGCTGGGTCCCACACGTCTCAGAATGGCATCCACTGTTCGAGCACATTCTCCCGATCGGTGCCGCGAGCGACTAAGTGGCACTGAAGCGCTGCGAGCCGTCACCGACGGTTGTGAGAGGAAAGGATCTCTGCGAATCCGCTTCGGGGTGCGTTCGCATCCGGCACGGGTGGAGGAGTGAGGACGGGGAAGGGGAGGCTCAGGAGGAGAAGAACTCGGAGTGGCTGGCTTTTCTAAGTGTGTTTGAAAGTCTGTCTATCAGAAGGCGGCTCACCAGGGGCACTCACGGGATGTCTATCAGCAATCGATCGGGCGTGTGCTAAAAGCGTAGCTGTCTTAGATAGCATGGAAAAGGCTCCAGTCGATGATGGCAGGTGCGGGCGTCCCATGTCCTTAGAATATGTGGATGCCAACTGTGGTGACGGCGAGCGCAAACTGTTAGGGCTCCCCATACCCAGAGAATCGGTTGATGTTGGAGGCTGCGATATTAGAGGGGCTCCCGTGCCCTCAAGCATATTCGTCGGAATATGTGCTGTGCTCCACTGCGCACAGCTGTGGCAGGTCCAACATATTCGGGACATTGCGTCGCTTATCCAATCATCATGTCGTCCATCTACACAAGCTGCGTGTGGAGGATGCGCTCGATGTGCACCATCGGTCCGTCCTGGCTTGTAGGTTGCGCCCGTCTGGATGCGTGCGTCGTGGATCACCGAGAATTCGGCGTCGTTGTGCTTCTGGAAGCTCAGCTGGAGCTCGCACTGTGCCTGGTCGTACGTGTCGCTGGCTTTCACAAGCGGAACGAGCTCGGTGATGGCCTTGATGTCCATCTGCTGAAGCTTGTCGTGGGCTGCTTTGAGATTCTGCTGGTTGAGTCCGCCAAAGTTTGCGCCTTCCTGAGTGAGACCTTCGATGGGGACCTGCGAACGCGGCGGTGCTGATGGCGCCTATCTTGGTCATCTCGGCGTCGATCTGCGCCTGCGGCGCGTTGCTTCGAAGTTCCTCGGCTCTTTGTGCCCAAATTCGGACTTGGGCGCGGGTGGCTACGATGGTCCCGGCGCCGGGTGAGATGAGGTAGGTCTGGCTTCGGCCTGCCGATGTCTCATCGCGACTTTCAGCAGTAGCTTCATGACTATTGGGAACAGGCGTTGTATCTCTTTCGTGTCCATCTCTTCGATCTGAAGGCAGTCCATGTCGATCAGCTCGTTGGTCTTCGCAACAGTCTGTCGCTCTCCGCGTTGCTTATCTCCGCGGCGGCGGTGCTTCGCTGGCGCGGGGCCTCTCGCCACTGCGCTTGCTGGCTCGCAAGCGGTGGGAAGAGAGCTCATCCAGGACATGGGGTCGCGGCGCAGGTAGATCGGCGTCGGAAATGCGAGCCTGGAGGGCGCGAAGGGCGGAGAATGACAGCTCGCAGTCCTCACTCGGGCAAAACAGCTGCACAGAGTCGAAAATGCAACGTCTGGCGCCAGCGGGGATGAGGGGCTCGCCGTCGCCGACGTAAACATCTGCGAAGCACGTGTCTAGAAGACAACGAAAATCTATAAACCCAAACTTTTGGCGTCCCACGCGGACTGATTGGATCTGCGCCGGACCCCCCTCCCCGGCGCGCGGGGCGCGCCGGGGGCGGCGCCGGAGGCGCCGCCGGGGGGGCCCAGCGCGGAGGCAAGAAATCCGCACGGAGCGCCAACAGCTTATGTTTATGATGTTTATTCTTCTTCGAGTGCCCGCGCCCTTGGCTCTTGGCTGGGCCTTGGCCGCGCGGGGAAGCGCTGGCCCCGCCCCCCCGGCCGCGCGGTGCCCAAGCGAGCAGGAGGCGGCTCGCTCTGCGCCGTCGTCGGGGCCCGCGGCGCCCCTCTGCCGCGAGCAGCGCGCCCCGCTCTCTTCTCTCCTCGGACCCCGATGACATCCCCAGGGAAGGGGCCAAACGACCTCTGAGAGAGGGGTGATCGCACCAGTGAGCCTATCCGCGCATGCCCACCCCCCCGGGGCACAGCGCCCGCGCTACGAGTCGGGATGCCCCCCAGAGACGCGCGCGCCGAAAGGGCGGCGCGCAGTGAGGTGGGAGGTAGAGCTACGCAGGCGCTGTCGACGGCCAGGCCTGCACCATCGCGCGCAACCTCGACGCCCAAAAAGGTGCACGACGAACCGGTGGTAGCTGGAGCCGATGTCGCAGCGTGGCCAGAGAAGCGATCTTGACCAGCTGCTGCCAGCTTGCCCCGGGCCCCCGCCGCGGAGGGGGCGCGACTTGCAACCGAAGAGGCCTTGGCCTTGGCGGCCCCCGCCCCCGCGGTGCCTCCTGACACCTGCCGCGCATGGCACTCTCAGGCCCGTGCCTTTTTTTTGTTTCAATGGCTCTGTCTGGCGTCTGGCCTCCGGCGCCTCTTCAGCACAGCTCTTGACTCAAATGGCTCGATCCAGCCAACTGCTGGCGGATCAATGTCAACGACTGGCACTCGGTCGGGCCAGTCCCCCTACAAGGGGATCTTGGGCGACAACATGACAAATAGGAAAACATGTCCCACAAAAACAACGGCCCCAGATTATAGATTACTATGTTTGATTTTTGCTCCTGTAGAGGAACAGGCCCGACTTAAGACTAGCACCGCATGCGAAGGCTGCGCTGGCTGCGCCGTCTGTGGCTGCGACGCCGGCGCTTCATCGTCTTGGCGGGGCGGCTCAGAGGCCGCTGCCGGCCATGTTCGCATCCACCCGACGCCTCTTGACCGACGACCTAGCGGTGAGCTCTGCAAGCTCCTCCTTGCGCTCCCGTAGACTGGCTGATGATTGGGCCCGCCGCCTTGCCGATGAGCTGCGTGGCCTGCATAGCCAACTCCTGCTTGTGCTGTAGCCGTGCTTCGACCTCTTTCGTGGACAGCTCAAGCTTTGAGATGTCGAGCGACGTCGCATCCTCCAATTCGAAACGTTGTTCGAGCCCAGTGTCGACATCCGCTCCAATGACCTGCGCGAGGTTGAGCTTCGGGGCAGTGGAACGGCTGGCGGGATCGTCGCGATTGAGCTGGTCGAGGTCTTCCTCCGAACGATGCTCATGCTGGAGAAGAGCATCCGCAGCTTCCTGAGCACGATCTGCCACCTGGGCGTTGGCAT